AGCCAGCTTATCAATACTCCCAGCGATGGTCCCGATATAGAGCTCCCCGAGGGCACCCGAACATAAATTAATCTATTATTAAAGAAGGACATCACGTAGTTGGCTGATTGAAAGAGATATATCGTTCCTAACTCACTCTTTCTTTTTTTTAAATGGCCCATAGATAAACCAGGGGGAAAAAACAACATTCACCAGACGTTGACATATAGGGACCGCATCTAACTATTTTTTTTTTATTTTAACCTCTCACAATTCACATATGATATCAGCCTGTTTTAAATTAATAACCAACATGCAAAGACCTATGTGACCGAGTTTCTATAATCCAAAGAAACTACAAGTCAACAATTAATAACAATAATAATAATAATCAACTAATGAATAATATAATTAATATTATTATTATTATTATTATTATTATTATTGATTACTTAATGATATACTTATTATGTTCCTGTTTAATCGGTGTACGCAGGTCGGGCGGCAAAACTCAGCGGGGGGTGACACATGTAAGAAAATCCCAACCTCACTTTTATCAATGGCCGGAACAAACAACTAGAACTATCCGGCCACTTTGTGGCAGCTATCTCTAATTAAACTACATTAATTAATTTGTCCTGCTAAATTACTTTACGAACCTATTGGATTTGTTTAGGATTGGCTGCCACAGATATTCAAAATCGTTGAAAACGCCTTTCGACTCGAGTAGCGTGTTTTAATCTTTTAAAATTTATTAATTAGAGAATGACAGCATTCTAATGTCACCGCGATGTTCGGTGATTGTGTTCTATTCTACGCCATCAAACGCAATACGAAATGTCAATGCCAATCAGGAAATCTATCTATGCGACCCCAGCAACTACAATTTTTTTGTTCTCGCGCAATTTCTCACTTGCAACATTAAATTTAATATAATGTGCAAGAAAATTCTAGAGTCCTCCAAAGAAGAAATGTTTACTCGCCTCTTCCGCCGACAGCGTAGATAAGTTTCTCTTGTAGGCCGCATATATATATTAGGGTTTCTAAACAAATCTGCGTCGACGATGGCAGAGTGGCCAAATATACAATCACGGCGCTTGGTGAAACAAAACGCGCTACTGACTAAGCACCGCGTTTCGTGTTTGTAACTTATTTAGTTCTTACTAAAGCGCAAGTAGAAGGATGAGGAGAGTACACGACGACGACTTAATAATATTTCCGACGGGCATCGCCAGTGTTTAGCGATGGGCGGATAGATATGGGAATTTTGCGCTCAGCATTTCTTGCCGACTCCATGGTATGCATAACAACTCGGGCCTCCGCCGGCTCGCCAAGAACTCCCGCAGTGGTTCTTGCAAGTAGTTACACAGTGGCGGTCCTGCTCCATCCAGTCCCATGACACTGTGCCAATCCTAGGCGTCGACATCGCGGCTAAGCAACGCACGCCAGAAGCAAATTTTAGGTGCACACACGCAGACGCGCGCAGCTCACAAACCCGCAGGCGCACCTCACATGCACGCACACACACACAACGAAACTAAAAAACACAGCAACGGGGGCGCACACACGGACGTTCACGTCCACTTGACGCTCACACGCACGCGCGCACGTAGCCTACACACGGTACGCACGCAGCGCACGTACACACGCACGCCGCACGCACGGCGCGCGCGCACGTACACACGGACACGCAGGGCGCGCACGTACACACGCGCATCCACGCGCGCCCACCACAGGCATGTTAACAGGCAGGCGATGACCTGTTTGTTTGTCTGCGCACAAATTCACAGTGTCAGCGTCGTAAAAGCACACTAGCCCAAAGCTGCTGCCGCGCCTTTATTTTACGGCTTTTCAGGGGAAATTTTGCTGAAGTACTTCCTGTCAATCAGCGGGGCACCGGGGAATATTACCTGCTCATGATGCAACTAGACTGGGTACAGGGGATCACTCGGGGCTGTGCAGGCGGATATGAAACTTCTTCTTCGTGTCATGCTAGCCAACTTACGGATATAGGAGTTATTATTATAGACAAGTATATTGCTACATGCTTGTGCTAAGCCTTATAATATTATGGCAACTCATGGAGCAGCTTTTAGGCTTCATCGCGAACATTTTTCCGGTTCGAACATCCATTGCCGGCAGTCCCATATATAATATATCTATGACTGAGCGGGCATACCGGCGTTGCGCCGGGGAATCAGCTTGGCGTTACTGCAGTTTGCGTGGGACCGCTTGGCTTTTGAAGGTAAATAAAACAAAAAAAATCTAACTATCTATCTATCCATGCATCCATCCATCCAATCCATGCATATCCATCCATCCATCCATCCATCCATCCATGCATCCATGCATCCATGCATGCCATCCATCCGATCCATCCATCCATCCATCCATCCATCATCGAATCCATCCATCCCTATTCCATGCCATGGCCATGCCATGCCAGGCCTATGCCATGCCAATCCCATCGCCATCCCATCCATCCCATCACACCGCATTCCCATCCATTCCCCATCCCATTTTCCATTCCCAAATCGCGCTGCCATACCCATGACATGCCCATTGCCATGCCATTGCCCATGCCAATCGCCATCCCAATTTTAACTTTTCTTATTTTTTTAATGAATGTAGAGTAAAATTTATTTTTAAAAAAATTTTTTGACAGTGGCAAAAGTACTGCTGATTAGCAGAAAGTACATACTAAGGGCGTAGGTAAAAGAAAAAAGGGGCAAAATCAAGTTTCCCCAGACTGGCGAGTTCGGAACCCGAATCCCACTGTATAAGACGAATTTCTAGCGATTAGGCCACTGGCGCCGTTTAAGGGTTCATATAGGAGGTTGCATACAAGCTAAGCCTCCGCAAATTTTTCAGCGCGGTGCTATTTTTCTCTTGAAAGACGTCTCTGGTGTAGAATGGTGGTGGTTTCTGGCGCAGAAATTCGGCGACGTGAGGCGGCATTATATGTGCAGGTTTTGGGCACGCCAAAGTTAAGAGCGCCGTGGACGTGGGGTGTACGAAGCGATATAGAAGTAAAATTGGTCTTGTTTGTGTATTCGCTGACCTTCCGTCGTGGTGCGTAAGCCACAGCGAGCGGTTTGGTCATTTTTTTGTGTTGAAATTGTGTTTAGACAACTTTTGAAAATATTCCGCATCATATAGAGTGGCAAAAGTTTCGGGTTTTCGTAGACCATAAGCATGAATCTGTAGTTACTTTACATGAATATCAAAGCTGTAGTTTTGTAAGTGCAGTAACAAGTGCTGAGCCTATTTTTAATGAATTTCTGCTTTTGATGCTTATCACGGCCTGCAGCCTATGGACGGCCCTCTACTGTTGTCTCAAAACACCTACCGACACCAATGGATTTAGAACTAGCGCTGATGCTTAATCTGTCGACGCACCCGCATCTATTGATGGAAATAAGATTTTTTATCAATTTTTTACTTTATAAATTTTTGTTTCAGCCCAGAACCACCTCCCTCCCAGACTGTGCTTGATTTCTGAAAAATATCATTTAGTTTTCCTCTCTAGGCTGCGGAGTTCTATATGTCTATGCAAGTGACGGACTAATTCCGGCTGAACAACTTCTATATATAAGATATAATTTATAGTATATCTCTATTATAGTATATATCTATATATATATGGATATCTATATATATATAACTAATATTTGGTGAGTAACGATGCGACTAAGTTAGCCCAGCATAAATCTTTAATGTGATCGTCGCAAATGGTTCGCGGAACGTACTTTAAACAATGACCGATGCTGTTAGCTATGGAGAGTGCGGATTGTAATGTTAGAAGTAGCCCACATAACGTCAGCGTGAGAAGCTTTCAGTGCCGGCCGCGTGAGAGGGTTGCCACGCATGGCGGCGGCGCAGGCGGTGGCCGTGGTGCGCCGAGCAGGCGGTAGTGTATAGTATATCGGTCGGCTCTGGTCTCGTCGGGTCTGGGTCTACTCGTGCGTCTATCTCTCTCTCTCTCTCTCTCTCTCTCTCTCTCTCTCTCTCTCTCTCTCTCTCTCTCTCTCTCTTTTCTCTCTCTCTCTCTCTATCTCTCTCTAGGCAACATGGCTGCCACATCTCTCTAGGGGGAGGTGGCCGCATTAAACTGCTACCATAAGTACAGATGGCTTTCCGTGAGAAGCGAGTTTACCAAGCTGTAAACTAGACATGCACGCCCCGAAGGCTGCGCATTTCCGTGCTAAACAGGCAGTCGCCTTCTAACTTACAGATGCAATATTCTACTTATATACCAACTAATATGGTGCGCGTTCCAGAGTAAGTTGCTGCTAAGCAATGAACCGCGAGCGAAACATGGTAGGTCCCCCCCACCACTCCCCTGATCGCAAACGAATGAGAAATCTCGTGAGAATTCTTAGTCCCTGCTCTGATAACGACAAAGGTTCGTGGTACGTGGAATGGACCACTGTCCCGAAGCTCAATTATTGCTACACTCTCTCCATGCGTGTGTATACTGTATAGGGTACGGATCGTTTATCCACGGCGTCATGAAATCCGTCTATAACCATAGTCCTGCGTAATAGTTCTATAACATATCACGGTTGACAGCTCTATACGCTTGCCTGTATTCATGTGTGTACGCTTGCCTATGGGTCAGTGTACAAACGATAGCAAACGTGGGTTGCACGAAATTGTACAAGTGTACAAGCGTACTAGTGTCTTCGTTATCTTACTGTTAAACATAGTGATAACAGCTCACGTATTTGCCAGTAAAGTTATACACAATCACTCCCCAAATTGAGGTTATATTTGACATATCTATATTTAATGGTGTAGTAATATTTGCCATTAATTGTTGTGAGCACGTGAGTGACCCGGTGACGATCTAGAGTGAAATAGTTACGCTATTTAGTGAAAGTGTTGACTACGTTCAATAATCCCACATACACTATCTGTTGTAACATGTACTCGCTATGTGTACGTACGTGCGTGCGTGTGCGTGCGTGCGCGCGTATACACAGAGACACTACATTTATCGACCAGCTAAGCACGCTTACATGACTGTGACTTGCACTGGATACATCCTTGATGTGTTGTCCCCCACTGCTGCCCACCGAGGAAGACCGCTTGTGTGAACCCTCCTTCTTCTTGCGCTCAGTCTCATCGTCTATCCACTCGTTGGGAGTCTGCAAAAAACCGCAGAGAACGCCACAAGATAAGTCGATCGCCTCGCATCGTGTAAACAGGAGAAGGCGAGGTGTAAGGCAGCTAGTGTTTTTATGTGAAGCCGGATTCGATGCAAATAAAGACATAAGATCTGGGCTTCGCAGATAATAAAGGCTACCAACGCGTGTAGGAATGCACGTACGACCCCCCTCACGGCGTGTGCGTGTGTCTGTTTGTGTGCGTGGTGTGTGTGCGTGCGTGTGTGGGTGCGCGCCGGTGCTCACACGCACGCACGCACACGTGCGTGTGCGTGTGCGTGTGGTGTGTGTGTGCGTGTGCGTGTGCGTGTGCGTGTGCGTGTGCGTGTGCGTGTGCGTGACACACACACACACACACACACACGCGCACAGAGAGAGGGGGGAAGTGTAAAGAGACAGAGCGAGGGGATTCGTGTAAATGCCCCTGATGACACGTCCCCTCGCCCCCAATACAGGGCCGGATGAGACGAGCCTTTAAATCAACCTTCCCTCCTTCCCTCCGCTTGACTTTACTTCCTGTGTCACGAGTACAGCACGTCTTTGGCAGCCGCGGTCACGCATAAGCAAGACTGCACGTCCGTACAGACTGTACGCAAGCGGTTTGACATCAGCTATCAGCAGAGGTCCCAGACATATCACATACATAAATTATAATTGATATCCTGTCTTTTAGGTATAAGGATACATGTTTATAAAGGACCCATGGAATGATTTCAGTACTAATTATGCCAATAACGTAAAGATGCATGTGTGAACAACTTTCGAGTTTATCTAGTAGCTATTTGTACCCATGAGAATTAAGACATTCTAAAATTATTTAAGTCCGGGATGAAAAATATTAAGGAAACCTTTCAATAAATGAACACCAAAGTTGTACTGTAATTGTCATCATGAACATCTGACGTCTCCATCACCATTTTCTCATTGCATCATTCATACACATGCAGTTACATCTCATTCTCAATTATATACTTAATAAAGCAAATATAATATCATTAATAAACATAACATTGTTTGAATGCATACTATTTCAGTTATTAGTATTTTGATTAAATATATGTCCATACTATGCCAGCTAAAATACCATTTACACATGAAACAGGAGTACCGCATATTTTTTTTATTATTACTATCAAATGGTACTTTCATTGATTTTATTTAAATTGAAGGTTTTCATAGATATTAATAAGAAGAAATATAAGAAATTATGATGCATGTTTATTCCCTGCTGGCTCTAAAATGGAAACGCATTTATTTCATTCCTATTTTTTAAACTTGCTACATTATAAATTATCACATTTGCAGGTTTCATACAAGTATACACGTACACAATTTCCCCATTTTCATTGCTTTAATTGCTTGTACAATGTATTTAGAGGTTAACATTCCTCCTTGTTCATATACATGTAGTTAGATGTGCATTAAACATGAATCAATATATATACATGCTTTGCAAGTTAATTACATGTATGTCTCAGTTTGCATTTCTGTTGCATTAGAATTAAGAAATCCAGGGAGCATAAAGACATCCATAAATAAATGATATGACCGAGACTGACTGAACTGACTGCAGTTAACTGACTGACGGAGAAGAACCGACACTGCATATCTACCCAAAATACCCCACAATGAATATCATACACACGTAAAAATCCAAAAAATAAAAAGCACAGGCAGATAGTCGATCGGCTTAATACAGAAAACAAACGCACGTACGATTTTACATAGCTTTTGTATAGCATTCATGCATATGTAGTATACGGCAAGTGTGTACGAGCGAACGCGCGATCCAACTTTTCAGCTATGTACAAATGACCTATGACCCGATGACATCATAGGACGCCAGTGCGTAACTACGAACTGGCTTATTAACTGTTTAACGAGTAGAATGTCAGTCACATCACCCATGATTGCATGCACATCGCCTTTCAGGATTTCTTCTCTTATACAAGCCTGAGTGTACGTCACTGGAGTCTACTGGAGAGAGTGCACCTATATCCACACGTTTAATGTCTGACGAATTAGCTGTTTAACCCGCAGACCCGTCCATCACATCACTCACGATTGATTGTACATGGCCTTTCTTCGGTGCGACTGCGTGCGCATGTGTTTCGAGAGAGCGGCCGAGGATAAGCCCCTGAAGGAGCAGATGTCACACGCGTACGGTTTCTCGCCTGTGTGCGAGAGAAAGTGCACTTTGAGGTCAATGGCGCTCATACACCTGTATTCACATGTGTCGCACGCTTATCCCGTGTGCGTGCGCGCGTGGCGCTGGAGCTGCTCCAGCCGAGAACTCCTGTACTCGCATACATCACACGCGTACGGTTTCTCTCCCGTGTGCGTGCGCGCGTGCCTCTTCAGGCTGTAGCGGGAGCACGTCCTGTACTCGCACGCATCGCACGCGTACGGTTTCTCTCCCGTGTGCGTGCGAGCGTGCATCTGGAGATTCGCCAGCCGAGAACTCCTGTACTCGCATACATCGCACGCATACGGTTTCTCTCCCGTGTGCGTGAGAAAGTGCGTCTTGAGGCTGCTGCGGGAGCAAGCCCTGTACTCGCACACGTCACACGCGTACGGTTTCTGGCCCGGGTGCATGAGAAAGTGCTTCTTGAGGCTGCCGGAGGTGGTGTAGGCAGAGCCGCATATGTCGCACACGTACGGTTGCTCTCCCATGTGCGTGCGCGCGTGCATCTGGAGATTTGCCAGCTGAGAACTCCTGTAGTCGCTTATATCGCACGCATACGGTTTCTCTCTCGTGTGCGTGCGCGCGTGCCTCTTGAGGCTGGCGTAGGTGGTGCAGGTGTAACCGCATGTATCGCACGCGTATGGTTTCTCTTCCGTGTGCACGCGAAAGTGCACTTTAAGGTTGCTGGAGTTGGTGCAGGTGTACTCACATATATCGCATGCGTACGGTTTCGCTCCCGTGTGCGTGCGTGCATGCATCTGGAGATTCGCCAGCTTAGAACACCTGTAGTTGCATATATCGCACGCGTACGGTTTCTCGCCCGTATGCGTGCGCGCGTGGTTCTTGAGCTGCGCCAGCCGAGAACTCCTGTACTCGCATACATCGCATGCGTACGGTTTCTCTCCCGTGTGCGTGCGCGCGTGCTCCTTCAACCCGTCACTCCGGGAGCATCGGTAACTGCACGTGTCACACGCATACGGTTTCAGAGAAGAAGAAGCAGAAGGAAGAGAAGGTTCCATCGAGCGGGCGGTGATCGAGATCTCTATTTCTCCCCGATGCAGGTTCCTCTCTCACTTTCCTCCCCGATGCAGGTTCCTCTCCCACTTTCCTCCCCGATGTAGGTTCCTCTCCGCTTTCCTCCCCGATACAGGTTCCTCTCTCTCTTTCCTCCCCGATGCAGGTTCCTCTCTCACTTTCCTCCCCGATGCAGGTTCCTCTCTCACTTTCCTCCCCGATGCAGGTTCCTCTCTATCTTTCCTCCCCGATGCAGGTTCCTCTCTCACTTTCCTCCCCGATGCAAGTTCCTCTCTTGGTCGTCCGCTTTCCTGCGGACAGAAAATATACACGGATCTACACGAGTTAAGCAATTTCTCATTATGCTGGAAAAATAATTAAACAAGTGGAAATCCGTGGATCTGCGGAAAATTCTTATGTATGTATATAGGCAATCGTTGTTGCAAAAAAAGCATGGATCCATAAAAACACTGCTACGTAATAACGCTAAACAAACCTGACAATAAAACACACACAAAATACATACAGACTGGTAGTGATGTCCCGGTGATCGATTATAATCGAAAGTCAGTCGTTTGCAGCAACCGCCTAAGCGCTCGATTATGAAAATTAATAATCTATTATTAATAAAATCTGTTATTTTTTCAATTTAATAAAATTTGCAAAAATTCACGAAATGACTTTATTTCATTATTGTGTATTTATTTTGGTTACTTTACAGCTTCGAGACAGTAAATCTAAGCTACACGAAACATAAGCATGTACAATACTGTCACATAGGTTTTAGAATATTGTAGGTCTATTATAAAAAATTTGTATTATAAAAATACTGTATTATATGATACAGTCGACCTCGCCTATGACGAATCCAACTGGGACTGGAGGAAAAGCTTTGACTTAAGCCTAGGACACTGTGCGATTTTCTACGCTAGCCGCTTGCAATCCGCCGATCGATAAATACGGTGCCAGGTCGAAAAACCGGGCGGAAATATTCAACATGTTGAATACGAGCGATGCGCCGGGCGTATGTGATTGCGAGCAAAAGTAGAGCGAATATTGTAAGTCTATTATAAAAAATACTGTATTATATGATACAGTTGACCTCGCCTAAGTCGAATCCAACGGGACTGGAGGAAAAGCTTTGACTTATAATGCGGATTTCCACTTCCGCGGAAGTCAAATTTTTTTCGACTTAAAGTAACTGCATTAGTGTAGTGGGGCGGATATGTGTCTGAGGTGTGCACTTCTGGAAAGAAGCATGAAAATTGGCTCTAGGGGTGTTTTGAGTATGCTGATTTCAAAAATCAAAAATTAAAAATGGCCGCCAGAAAAAATGTTTTTGCCCATAAATCAGCTGTAAGTGCCCCGATTACCATGATCTTGGTGTATATACCTATGTTTTTGATGTCAAAGAATGCAATAAAACACATGTCAAATATCATAAGATATAATCTTCCCGCCAAAAAGTTAAAAATTCAAAATGGCCGCCACAAAACACAGTTTTGCCCATAAATCAGCTGTAAGTGCCCCAAGTACCATGATCTTGGTCTATATACATATGTTTTTTAGGTCAATAAACCCCATAGAACGGGTATAGAACACATGTGATCTATCATAACATCTTTCCGCCAAAAAAAATACGTGCCACGATTACCAGGATCTAGTTATAGGATACCTGTTTTTATGTCAAGGAACCCGATAGAAAACATGAAATATCCTAACATACATCTTCAAATTATACAAAAACAATATAAAATGTTTTTTTAGGTCAAAGAACTGGGTAGAACACGTGAAAAATTATGATAAAAACTTAAATATATACTTTATACCATCTATACTTCAGTTCATAATTT